TATTTGTTCCAATTTCGGTTCGGTTCGACTCGTTCCGTACCGTTATTCCAACTTCTTCTATCCAATTCAGAACGAATTCCGTACCATTCGTGGGTTTTTGCCGCCCATGGCCACGCGAATCGCCTTCGATGCTAACCCAGAGAAGAATCGATTCGAAGGTGTGTGAAATCTTCCATAAAAAAATGCTCTAGAAATCGTAGAAGGGCTGAGGCTCAACGCAGTTGTGGCATGGGTTCGTGCGTTACTCGTTAGAGAAAAGCTGTACACTCACCTCCTGAATCCGACGCTTGCCGTGTGTGGGAGACTGGGCCTATAACTGCAGTAGCGTACCTTTTTTCCGCTCGAAAGTACACGGGAACGAGGCTGGAGAGCAGCAATACCTACGTGCGTCTCAGTACTCCGCCCGCGCTACCGCACGGCCAGACACACGCCTGACCAGAGCCGAACGCGCTATTTGTCTGCGCCCTCTCACCTCTGGTAGTTCTCTGACGCTGAGTGCTTTTTCGCTGCGGGACCTTGGTATCGACGCAAGTTCTACAGCTTGAAGTTAGCGCGGGCGGAGTATGGAGATGGCACTCGTCCTTCAAAGGTGTGTGTACGATTTGTCTCATTAGAGGGGGCTACTAGGCGATTGAGAGGCAGACTGAACTACCTCACTTATCTTTTGCTTCCTTCTCCCGCCCTCTCGCCCCTTACCGGGATAATGATAGGTACGTTCGATGGCGGAGAGAGTGTGACTTTGCCTTCATCCTCCCGACTACTTTGGTGACCGACTGAAGAAAATTATTCCGTCCTTTCCCTACAATACAGTGCTTTAGATATTGTGTGCATTGATCAGACTCGAGTTCGACTCGGCTGTGGCTCGTATATTCACGCTAGTTGGGTGAATATTACCGCCAGCAAGAAGGTACGCCCCCCCCCTTGTCTTGAAATATGGATGAGTCACTTTTGAGTAGTGCTAGCAACATTTCAGGCAATCCTCACCCAACTTCCGAATCGAGAGAGTGGAGCGGAGTTCTGGCAAATGGTTCTTGACGTCGACGCACAAGCGATTCTCCTTTTGCTCACACATGCCGAATTCAACATGTTCCATGCAAATGGAGTGTTCCCGGCTGAGCAGTGAGTAGTCACGACACTGACCATTGGAGTGTGTCAACGGGTAGACCGCCTTAAGCAAAGCATACTTTTACCCCGTGTTGGGAGATACGCTTAAGGGTCTTACACGAAAGCGACGGAGTTGGGCGTTTAGGAGCTGTGATCACGTTTACGATATAAGCGCTGCGGGCCCTAACTTAGGATTCCTCACTGATGCGCCCGACATCCACCTTTCCTAGGGTTGTCAGTAGTGCAGCTGCATTTCTCCGTTCTCACTGGTGACCCTTTTCACAGCTTCTTTCATATGCCGGACAGGTTTGTATGGTGGAATCTTTATTACGCCTGACGTTTCGACAATCTCGTCGTTTTCAAACGCCTGAAAGCACACCGAAAGTCGTGAAATACGACCCATCCTGTTTAGCACGGACCCGCCTTGACTAATCGCAGCACTGACCCAAGTAACTAGTACAAACCGAAAGGAATTTACCAACAGTAAGGTTAGCTCGTCGCACGATGCTCTGCTCCAGCCTTTGAGAGCCGATAAGGACAAGTGAAAGGACTCACTTTTGTAGCATGGCCATAGTGATAGAGTGCGTACATGCAGTACATCCCGCTCTCACTGTTAAAGACCGCACAGCGGAATTTACGGTAAGAAATCAGCAGTTATTGAGATGCATGTCATCTCCTGTTGTTCATTCGGATGGATGCGGGTGCTTTAAAATCCAGACGGCTTCCGAAGGTTTTCCTAGCACGACATCAACTTTGTAGCCCAATTTTAGTTGCACCGGCTTGGCAAGCATAGTAAGGGAAATTCATGGCCCGCTTATCTTTGGACGTCTGAATGCCACTACATTAGCCTACGAAAAGTGATGTCCGGGTGCTAGGAGAACCCTGGAACGTTCCTGGATAAAGCAACCCGCAATCCATCCATGGACCAACCAGGTATGAGTGCATCTCAATAATGGTGATTTCCTTACCGTACACTTCCGCTGTGCAGTCTTCACTAGTGAGACACTGGGAATGTACTGCACTGTAAGCACTCCATCACTAATGCAGTTATATAGAAGTGAGTTTTTCACTTCTCTATCGGCTCTCAAAGTTGAGCTTCCGTAAGTAAGATTCCACCATACAAACCTGTCCGGCATAAGAAAGAAGTATCGATCACATAAGTTCAAAATGCCCAGGTTACAGGAAAGGCGAACATGGAAATTCACTACAGGATATACCTTTTCACAGCGATTGTTACCAGGGTAAGGCACCAGTGAGGAAACTACGACGGTAGATTCGGCTCCGCCCATACGGAATGTCCAGTATGAAGGGAAACCGTATCATGTAGGGATGACTCTGCGGCTTTCGAAGAAACGGGGACTGCTCGCCGTTCCAGTATTGCAGCAGTCACTGTTTCTGCAAAATCAGAAAAGCATGTGGGAATGCGACGATCTGAGCACATTATACTAAATTAGAGGGCATCGAGGAAGGGCGTAGATTGAGCGAAGCCGGGGCGGCCTTTCCACCACTGGATGCTGTCCTGAGCCCACGAAATTGCTGAAAAGGAGGGGTAACTAATGTATACACCCCTTATCCTAGTATTAGCGGACCAGGTAAAGAAAGGGAAAAGAACGTTTCGAGTGAGGAGGTCTTGCTGAGAAGGCAACTTTTTTGACAGCAACCCTCTCCCTGCGTCGAGAGCAGTCCCTTTATATGGGCTACCCTTACCCTGGATTCCAGGCAGAAGGCACGATAGTTGTGACTACAAGGGTTGTGAGCAGAACAGGTTGAACGCGGGGTATTCTCTACGGATCTTATCTGGTCGACGAAGGGGAAGTGGTCGTGTTCGACATGAGAAGTTCCTCAGATGGTTAACTTTTTTCTATTTCATGCGCATTGTTCATTCCCCCCCCCTCCTCCTCCTCCCGCTCGTCGATCGCTGGCGGATAAGATGACTGGTAAGTGTATGTAGCGAAAAGTCTCTCCGGCGCCGGGCCGTGCTGTAGTCGCGAATCCATATCTAAAGGCGCGGTCCATACCACTTGTACAGGTGAGACATTCAACCGCTGTCCCTCTTGCTTCCCTCGTAATCGTGTTGCAGCGTTCAATGAGGAAAGCACAACGTTGGACTTCCTGCGCCCATGCAACAAGCCTGACTCGTGCCCTTGAACGTTTGGCCTAATGCAACCATTGCAATCCAACAAAGTGATCCTAGCTCTTCAGGGACTTTCTACATTTCGAAGGAAGTCATGTACGAGTTGGAGAGTTCAAACGTGTGGTCATTGATCGTGACTGGACAATGCATGTGATTTCAGTTAGAAGTGGAGACCGTAGAAAGTGGGCCCTTCAGCTAGTATCGATAAAGAGTTTTTTCTTCAAGTAATCCTAATTTTTCAGATATGTACATATGCATCATTACTCAGGATGGACACATGGAAAGCAGCCAGTCCGACTTGTGGATTTGTGGCAAATACAATCAGTATTCAGGTACAGGATATTATCATTGGTTTCTACTTTTAGAACTACTATCTTTGCAGAAAGTACCCTAACCCGCATATCTATATGAGTCTGTCCGGTTGTGGTCGAGCAGGAACTTATGCTGCTTTTGAGGTAAGAGCTCAGGTTTAGTTATCGAATGGCTCCCGCATCAGAAAGTAGTGGGGCGGGGGCAAACGTAGTTCGAAGGTGCATCGCAGCCGCACGACTATGCTACTACATGTCTTGCTCTCCCTTTCCAGGGCTATGCGGGAAAATTCACCTACCAGCGTACGCATCGCGTGCCTACTGTCTATGCTTGTGCTTTATGTCTGTTTTCTATGCGTCTGCTTCCTCTTGACGATATAGCGTTCCGGGTTTAATTACACCATTGTGGGCACAGACAAGCAAGGGCCTAGTATCACCCACTGCCACTCCTCCCCAAACACCCAGCACACACATTATGCCTCTTTTCCTCGCTCCATATACACTTAGCGCCAATGGACGCATATAAATAAGGATATCGTCATTTCGCAGATCGCCACGCAGCGCTTCATTCGGACGATTCTTCATCGGCTGATCATGGGCGATTGCAATATAGTCGAGCCTTCGTCGAGCGTCGAATCATGCAGTTTCAACGCGGCCTATATACAATTGCAGACCGATACATGCGCTCATTATGGAACACATAATGTCAAGTGTCAGTTGAATTGCTTTCGTAAAAACACGAGTTGATACCAGCAATTACCGTAGTTTTTATGAAGTCAGATAAACTACTACGGTCATGAGCGCATAGCTGACGCTTGTGTCTAACCAGGTAAGTATCGTTGGTCGTTCACGGAAAGTTCTAAGTCACATACAGCAGCTATATGATTGCAGAAATTCGCGGCCGCACAATTGCCGATCGCAAGACCACACATGAAATATGAGGAAATTTGGTGGAACGGTTCAGACAAATGTGCGAAGTTACAAGAGGGATTCAGTTGATAGCGCCTGTGTTCATTGTCTCTCAAATTTAGTTCCCGCTTTCTTTCAAAGCAATTACGGCATCACACCTGGTTTTAGCTCTATGTCCCCCTAGTCCAATTACTCGTGTAACTAACAATATGTTTTTTTTGAATAAAGCGCTGATGTTGGTTGTGGATTTTGAATTTATGACAGGAACCTTCCTGATGATACTTTTGATAAATCTATGACATTGCTTCTTGAAACATCTGGGCGCTTATCGTAGATTTGGGCGAGGGGCGTGGTGGAGGCCTAAAGGGGGACACCCCTGCTAGCGCCTCTACTATTCCTTTCTCTAATCAAGCGTTTATGAGACCTCAAGAATGTAGTGGAGTACTAATTCTTCTCCTGCTGGGCGTAGTCCCTAATCTGCTGCGTGGCTGCACTTTGAGGCAGAAGGAATGGCAGGCCAGCCGTGCGCAAAGTGTCTCTCCTGACCCCCATCTGAAGTGTTTAGCTGCCGATAATTTACTGTGTTCCTTCACGCGAATTGTCATTGTCTGGCCTCTTCACGAGTTTGTGACCATTCGATGAAGAACGTGAGTTGTTGGAAATAAGTGGTCGTCTCATCACATCCAGGCGCAGTCCACGCTGACCGCATGGGCGGGGACGATCAGCACGCACCGTGTTGTTGTGGGAATCGCATCAGGGAGTCGTACTTATGGTTAGTCTTATCTGGTTTTGACAGAAACTTTCGAGCTGTGAGATGGTCGTGGCCACCTGACCCTCTCTTCCAGGAGGGAGTCTCAGCGGAGGAGGAAATTTTGGGGAGGGTAGGGCGTTGATACTGCCACTTCTGCCATCCTGGCGCTGAACCTGATTGGGATATTTTTTGCGCGCGTGTCCCAGATGGCTGACCAGTTATGAGGGAACGTTCATGTTTCGTGGATTTTCTCGCAGTTCGCAAGGTCGGGTTTGAAGCCGCGGCTTTAGGACATATTTTCGGCGGACTACTCAATACTTTCTTTGGTGATTTGAGCAGATACTTGTTGTGGATGAAGAAATGACAGCATTCAATCACTCGCTCGCCCAATATAAGGTAGGTGCACGGCATTCTCCCACGGAAAGTCCTTTGTCCCTACTCAGCTCTTGATTGACTCTTTTCAGGTCATCTCTACTCTTGAACTGGCTTATGGTCGAAAACTACAATGTTTTTTGAATGTGGTATGCAAACTTGGGACGGGAGCCCACACCAGTGTAGGTGATTCTGATACGCTAGCACAAATCAGCATCCGTCCTTCAAACGCCGGACACTCACAGTGGTAAATAGTTTCCAATAGACATAAAAGATAAAATCTTCGCCGTCGATCAGTCCCTGAACCATACAGCGGACTGCGGCAGGGCATGTCTTACGTTGGGATCCTCAGCAAGAGGGGGGGGGGAGGATTGTACTTGTTCTTGAGGAGAACGCTTCACGGATGCTCTACGGGGGGGGGTCGTATTTTATAGTTGTTTGGGAGGATTTCCCTTCTGACCTTCTGAAAAAGGTTGCCTGACTTTTTCTGGATTTTTTCCTGTCAGCATTCGTGTACTCTGTAACCCCTCCCCCCCTCGACCAGTGCCACACCATTGTTGGGGATTCCCTTCTATACTCTTGGGTCGTATTGGCCGGCTGAGGGAGGGGAGGGCCGTCGAGAGTGGCGGTAGCTGCTGTGATGTAACGAGCAGTCTCGTAGTATATATGTCAGTGTGCTGATGTGTAGCTGTATATATCGTGGTTTCGTAGATGATCTGCGCATATTGCTAAAAAATAGTCGATAGAGGTGTCTGTGTTAGTGATGTGATGTAAGCAGAAATCGACTGGAAATTAGTATTAAGTCGACATCATCGGCGTAAGAGGTATATATGTTAAGCCAGTAAACAACTCATAACCTGTTGTGTGCGTCGTGGCTGTATGAGTGTGAGCGTGGTTTACGAGCGACCGCGCCCTTATGGGCGCCTAGAGGCCAACTGTTTTTTTTTCTTTCGACAAACGACAGGCTACCAGTATCGTTCGCTTATCAGACGTTTATCCAGCAGGTGGTCTTTCTTTATCAAAGTCCAGCCAATTGGCGCGAGCACGAATACTGCGCTTTTGGGCGTCGACCAGGACACGCCTCTCCCCATCATCCGCAACGGACAACACTGTAAACAAGTGCGTGGTTTGGCCATGGAACTCCCTGAATCCTGTAAACATATCTGCTCGTGTAGACAGGCACTGCGTGGAACTGCACCATCCCATTACCTCTGCGTGGGAGCCTAGGCATGGCGCATCCACAAATGAAGCTAATGGGCGCTACTGCTTGCTCCTATTCCACGAAGGGATGCACTCTAGATGCATTCACTACTATATATAATGCGCCTATGTGTGTCTGTGGTGGTGTCGGTTTGTCGTGTGTGTGTGTTGTGTGTGTCGTCCTCTGTGTGCTGGTGGTAGAATGAGGCGTCGCAGAAAAGATAGGATGACAGTTCCAAGAAGTGATATACATGGCAGGACGGGAACACTTTTGGTGGGTGTCAGGAGGTGATAACACTTGATAAGATACGATAAGGGGCCGTAGAAGGGGAGGGTGACTGAATTCGTAGCGCAAGTTGCAGCAGGTGTGGGACCGTGATTTTAAGAAGTGATATAGATGGCAGGACGGGGAACACTTTTGATGATGGGGTGACCAGGAGGTGATGGCCACACTTGATAAGAATTTCGATAAGAGGGGCCTTAGCAAGGAAGAGGAGGAGTGACCGAAATCGTAGCGCAATTTGCAGCAGCTGCAGGGACCGTGATTTCAAGAAGTGATATACATGGCAGGACGGGAACACTTTTGGTGCGTGACAGGAGGTGATAACACTTGATAAGATTCGATAAGGGGCCTTAGAAGGGGAGGGTGACCGAAATCGTAGCGCAATTTGCAGCAGCTGCAGGACCGTGATTTCAAGAAGTGATATACATGGCAGGACGGGAACACTTTTGGTGCGTGACAGGAGGTGATAACACTTGATAAGATTCGATAAGGGGCCTTAGAAGGGGGGGGGTGACCAACATCTAGCGCAAGTTGCAGCAGCTGCGGGACCGTGATTTCAAGAAGTGATATACATGGCAGGACGGGAACACTTTTG